GAGTTTAGTTTCACGCCGCATTTAGCAATATTCCAGCAATATCACGGCGGTGGACACCAGAAATGGGCTTCACACATTGTACCCATGTGGGGAATCGAACCCGGGTCTTCGGCGTGACGAGCCAATGCTTTAACCACTAGGCTACCCCACCGCCCCACAAGCCGCCAGAAGGCTATAAGAGACTCAAAGAGCGTTAAAATACGTGAGATGGATAAAATGATTAGGTATTAACTATAGTTTTATTAATTCATGTAATGAATTATGATTTTTAAATTAAGACATATTGCATCAACATATATATGTACTTGGTGTGACTATTGAGGGGGATATGAAAATACTTTAGCCTACTTACGTCAATAGAAAATATCCTACGGGATACTAGCTTATATCATGTGTGGATGTCACAGTATATTGTTTCTCCTAATGCTTTAAAAAGTAATGTTAAAAGGATTCTTATTGCTCAGTTTTATCAATCATGGAATGCAACAGTAATTGCTACCTCAAAAGGTAAATATTACAATCTTTATAAAGAATTACACTATGTAACCCTAAGAAATAGATATCTGCCAAAGTATTTTTGTAATAATCCCTCAATAGATAAAAATTAGACCTCAGTTATGAAATCCAGTTCTAAACCACTCACCTTGAAATTAGCCAAATACATCAAGGAAGGTTTACTGAACAAATGAGATCTAGCATGTGCATAATTGTAATCTTGTTTGTTATTGTTGCCATGTATAAACTCATACTGTTCATATTGTAAATTATCTGTATGTTCTCTGTGTCACAACATGCATATGATTTATGAGAATAAAATTCTTCTTTTTCTGGTAGCGATGGGTCAGTCAAAGGATTAGTAATAAATGTTTTGAGAAGGGCACAGGAGATTGGAGCGTGTTGTTACTATACGTACCTTCGAGTGACTCTGGGCCAGCTCATTAATTAAATAGGGGTGGATAACATGGCTCAGTTAATTAGTGTACTCATTGGGTCTGTCTTTTGGGAGTGAACCTTTGTGACCCGTGCGGCCCGCGCCCCTCTGGAAGGATTTCATATTGGCGTATGAACATCAGACCAACTATAAACAAGAACGACAACTCGTTCGAAATGTTAAACCAACATTGCGTGATTGAACAGTTACACTTCAAACGGGCGAAAACACATGAAATATTTTTATTGTTGTCGGGCATAGAAAATGCCACTGAAACGTCAATATGAAAGAAACAATTAAACTGAAAATGCAATGTAACCCTGTTCAGTCGATGTGCCAACAATTTGGTCATACTTTATTACATTTCTTTTATAGCTGAATATTCGATAACGCTTAAGACGTGTCCAAATTAAGCATGTTGATTGTATGACAGTTGTATAACGGTTTAACCTTATTAAACACCCGGGTCCTGCTTCATTTTAGTCCAGGATAACTGAACAGGAAAACCTTAAGGTATGTTTGCTCTCTGATCAGTGCCATTTGACTTTTCTATACCAGTTATCTATATTTCTCGAACATTATGTTATTTAACGAATAGTGAGTGAGTATGGTTTTACGCCACTTTTAGCATCATCCAGCAATATCACGGCGGAGGACACTAGAAATGGGCTTCACACATTGTGCCCAACCCGGGTGTTCGGCTTGACGAGCGGACGTTTTAACCACCAGGCTGCCCCACTGCCCCAATTTAACGGATAAGAGCAAGACTTCTTTTGTCTTATCCAATAAGCTTTTTGGATTTTGCAGACATCATAAAAAATGTATGCGTGTGCGTGAGTGAGTCCAAATATTTCAGCCACACAGCTATGGGATTTAGCTATGGATGAAAACCAAACATTTGCCATCTTGCTCACGATTTGGTGAAACATTATAAGGCCTAATTTACAAATCGTCGACAAAGCATATTGCCGTAAACTCTCATTTTGTACATGCGTGCATGTGATGAGTGATATTATTTTACGGACCTCACGCACAATTAAAGAAATCATCCAACTTCACAGAAAAAAAACCCCCGAAAACGTGTTCTTGTGTGTTGTACATACAAAAACGTGTTCTTGTGTGTTGCAAACCGAAACATGAGTCTCATTAAAATATTCAGACAATAACCTGCTTTTCTGCCGGTCCGAATTTTCTCATGTGAAAGTGAAAATAGACATCACAAACAACTATGGTTACACGGAATTCCAATTTCGTGTTTCATAAGAAAATGGTATTTACAAATGAATTTTAAACTTTAATAACATCGTATTTCTATAGTTTATGTCAAGGTGTAGTCTGCATGACCCTAAGACGTCACAGACTGCCCCTGTTTGATGAGGTCGTAACATGATTCGCAATGCATCTGGCTCACTGGTTACACCTGTTATGTGTTTTTTTGCGCTTATTCAGTGTAGTGCTGTAACGCACAATGTGATTGATATAATATCAATTTCGTACCAGACCGCCAAACTTTTCTAGCGGCAGAGCCTCGTTTTGAGATTTCCACGATTTCCAGGTTTCCGTTTGTCAGAGTACGCTGTACGACAGAGCACGCTGCACGACGTGTTTGCAAGGATTGGAAAGAGCGTAGTGTTGCAATATACAAGTGCTTAGATGTATCAAATAATACTAATTAATATTTATGTATCCAGTTAAATGAATTGGTCTAAAAATTCTGGACTGGTTATTATACTAAGTTGCGCAATAGGATGGAACCCAGTCAACAGGAAACGAGACTGTTGTATAATCAATGTTTTGACTTGAGATACAAAAACGTGTTCTTGTGTGTTGTAGATACAAAAACGTGTTTTTGTGTGTTCTTGATACAAAACGCGTTCTTGTGTGTACTTGTAACAAAAACGTTCTTGCTACAAAAAACTGTTCTTGTTGCAAAAAAGAGTTCTCGTGTGCCCTTGTTGTAAAACGGGTTCTCGTGAGTTCTTGTTACAAAACGTGTTCTTGTGTGTTTTTGTTACAAAAACGTGTTCTTGTGTCTTTTTCTTTGCTTGTATGCAGCACTATACATACTGTATACTGCAGATATAAATCAGATCTAATCAGAGTCTACATTATACAGGAAGTAACGCTTTAATCACAGAACCAACCATGAGGCTTCACGAGAGCTGTCAGCTGATGTTATTTCTACACGTGTCGGCCATCTTTGCTGAAAGAAGACGTGTTGCTTTCAAGAACTGCCTCTCATCAAAAACCGACGATGATCTGATTACAGTCAAGGCTGTCAGAAGCAGGACCGAGTGCTCTGTGCTCTGTCTGAACGACCCAGGCTGTCTGTCAGCCTCCTACTGCAAGACACCTGGTGGCCTCACGTGTCAGCTGAGTGGGCGTTATTCAGACGGAAACTGTTCCGGGTTCGTTTCTAATGTGGACTGCACCATGACTACACTTGTAAGTTATTTTTGGTTTTTGTGCAAAAGAAATATAAAAAGTGCCATGTTACCTCCATTATCCATATTTAAATCCCTCAGGACATCCTAGACCTAACTGGTACAATACAAAGGCAATAGGTGACCTAGTGGGTGAAGCGTTCCCGGGTTTGATTTCCCACATGGGTACAATTTGTGAAGCCCATTTCTGGTGTCCTCCGATTGGATATTGCTTAAAGCAGCGAAACCCCTTATCTTACTCAAACACTCGTCATCATCAATCTGTCAGCATTTTTTTTCTCTGTTTCCCTCCTGTCCTGAATTTTCCTTCCGATCTGAAATAATTAAAAAAAATGTTCTTACCTCATTTTGTCACGCCGATGTGGAAACGTATGCCCTGATGTGACAAAAAAATACTCTTCCATTGCATGCTTATCAAAACCCAGATAAGCTTCATCTTTCTTCAGCCCGTGAAGGTCTGGGTTAGAATATTGATCTTCAGTAACCCATGCTTGTCGTAAAAGGCGACGAACGGGATCGGGTGGTCAGGCTCGCTGACTTGGTTGACACATGTCATCGGTTCCCAATTGCCTGCAGATCGATGCTCATGCTGTTGATCATGGGATTGTCTGGCCAGACTCAAAATACGACTCACTGACCTTCCTTTCATGCTTGTCTCATTTTACGATTTACCTTTCACGTGTGCCTGTACTTCGTTAAACATGACCACTCCCTTCCCCCGAACCTTCCCTTCCCCCACCCCCTTTTAAGGCATATATTGTAAAGAACACTTGACATTATATTATTACGTAATGTCCACTTTAATGACCATCCCTAAATATGTTTTTTATTGTGAATGGCCTGTCATAGCCATTGTTCGTTAGGGACCCTCCCCTGATTTCATCTGACCCGTCCCAACCCATAAACAATGGCCGGTCCCTTGCTAACCTTCAGTAACATTGACTGAATTAGTTCATGTAGAAACTGACCGTGAACCTTACTTCCTGTTTACATCAAAGCGTCAGTACATCGATAAATTCACGCTGTTGGTGTTTTGTTGATTGTACATCTCCTGCAGGTAAAGAATTAATTCAGATTTATGGATTTACAATACACTAGGTGTGACTGGTGGTAGGTTTCACGCATGGTTACAAGAGAAGTGTTTGTTTGTTTGTCTGTTAACGACACACATCAAGACATCAACTACATGACGGCAGCATGACATAGTTGGGTTGCCATGGTTACTGTTGATACAAACATGCTTACCATTTCCGCAACCCGTGAAGGTCCGAGTTAGAATATTGATCACCCATGCTTGTCGTAAGAGGCGACTAACGGGATCGGGTTGTCAGGGTCGCTGATACATGCCATCGGTTCCCAATTGCGCAGATCGACGCTCATGTTGTTGATCACTGGATTGTCTGATCCAGATTCAGACATTTCCAGAGTGCAGTTATTTCTGAAATATTCCTCACTACGGCACAAATTGTTTTCGTTTTGTTTTTAAAACATGTAGTACTGTTATCATACTAGTATTTGTTTTCAGGTTCCTCAAAATCCTTGACTAGACTGAGTGTCATTAATTCATTGTATCATGAATGTAACAAATATGTGCAAACTTTCTTTGTAACAACCTTCCTCCGCAGATGAATCCATGTGAAAATGGCGGAACGTTCTACCCCGGAAACAGGACCTGTCAGTGTGTCAATGGCTTCGTGGGGGATTACTGCCAACGACGTTATCGAGGTACGTCATTTACGTTGCCGATTATTATCTTATCTTTCACATATATTTTCCACAAATATGAAAATGTGATCACTATTAAAATCTTACGATTGCAACCTTTTACACCAGTTTAGATCGTGTAAACAAAAGGCACTCGGATGTAAATATACTGACAAACAATAGAAACGCGTAGTCATGGTTTGCAGTATCAGACATGATCCGTTTGTGTGCTCAAGTGCATCTCGATACAATCGATTTTACTGATGTGAAATACAAATATCACCATGGCACATGTTTTGGACACCGTCTTTAATTCTGTGCACTGACGTTTCAGAGCTACTCTTTGCCCCGTCAGGTATTCATGGAGAATAAAAGTTGTTATTCATGCTTTCAAGTTCTTCAAAATGCCCCTTTGTCAAATGTTACAAAGAATCGAAAATGTTTTTTCAAGAGTTTCAGCATATGCATAGGTCTCTGCATTCCTATTTTGTATCGTGCTGATCACTGGATTGTATGGTCCAGACTCGATTATTTACAGAACGCCGCCATATAGCTGGAATATTGCTGAGTGAGGCGTAAAACTAAACTCCCTCACTCACTCCTATTTTGTATGTTTCTTTATAGATTGCATGGAGACACCAGGGCGATCTGCGATTACACAGTACCTCATTCAACCGTGGGGGAGTACCAACATCTATGAGTGGTTTTGTGCCTTATCGACCTCAAATTTGACATCTGTGACACAAGTTATGGAATACTTTAACTCAAATGTTGCACTGACGTGGCAGGAAATGAGAGACGGTTTTACGACTAAGTTAATATTCCATTTCCTTGGCCTGGAGCTCCTACACCGCTTAACCAATCAGGGAGTGTACGATATGCTTGTCGTGCTGGGCGCTACTGGCAAGGACGCTGGCCATCTGATCTACAAGAGCGTACGAGTGGACTCCGAGGCTGAGGGTTACGCCTTGCACTGGGATTCCTTTCACAATGATCCAAGTGATGATCACCCGGGCAGCGATCAGTATTTAGATGGATTTGGAGGTGTAGGGGATTCAACCAAGAATTTGAATGGAGCACGCTTTGGTACCATCGACCGTGACGTCAACGACTGTGCCCGCGTCTACAACGCTTCGTGGCATTGTATTGTTGCGTCGTCAGCAGTGGTGACGTCATTCAAATCACATTGTGACGTAAAGTCGGAATGACGTCACAAATGAGCAGTTCCAGATGCTACCATGGGTACCAGCCGAAACAACCGGCTGATGACACTTCACTGCTGTACCCATACTCGATGTCAATGAGTGCAGACAGAAAAACCTTTTGGTTTACTTTTGTGTTCACAATGTCGGATAAATACTATTAAACATAATCAATTAACACAACAATTTCAGCATACTTTCTTTTGACCCTCAGTATATCTACCTTATATCTTCTGAACAACGAAGCTGTATGTATTCCTTGTATGTCTACTTGTGTCTGTGATCTTAAAGGGCAAGTGTTCATTTTGGGAAATATGCACTCATCTTTTTCATATTAATAGTTTGAACCTCAAAATACGTGTGAAAATGGTTCGCCGTTATGAAGCCTTCGATTTTAGAGCAAAACAGGCCTGAGTTACCCCCCTTAGATATGACGTAATTGGTGCAACTCTAACTGGTAGCTTGTCTTAATCTTACGTGAAAGACACCGTCATAAACATCATGGCCTCGGACTCGTCGTCTGACAGCGACGAAGTTTCACTGAATCAAGAAAACGTCCAACTATATTCTTTTGAACCGACACGGGCTAATTTCCCTGACTTCAAAATAAAGACGAGATACGATCATGCGGAACCTAGTGAAGACCTTTTGTCTTCAAACCGTGTGTCGTCAAGCGCAGAGTCCGACTCATCCAGACCACCGTGGTAAGATCATAATATTTTGCTTCTATCTAAATATAGTACATTTCAAAATATAGCCTTATTTGCAGTGATGCTTGCTATGCCTGATAACCAGCTCTCTCCGTATGCTTTTCGCCTTGTCCATCCCTTGTGTCAGTGTCATCAAATATGAATGCCTGTCCAAATAATAATTGATGATAACTCTTACAATTACATCTTACTTCACATGCAGTTTACACTACAGTATTATTATTGCCGTTTTCCTTGAGTAAAGTGCGCTTTTCTTCCCCAAGCACGTAGTTCTGATGGTTTAGTTTTCCAACGCAGTCATTACCGTGGGCACGTAATACCGGAAATTTGTTTACAATTTTGACAAATCAGACAAATAAATACGCAATTTTATCATGTGAACACCATGTCTGATTATAAAGTGTATGCATTGTATATGTCGCTTTGTGTTTGCAATGTGTTTTCATAATTTGGTGGTTACATTAATTTCGCCATTGACGACCTTGGCCTTAACCTGCCCCGCACTGAAAAGAGCAAGGGAGCTCATTGACTAAAAAATAAATTATGTCTCATCAAATCGCTGGCTCTTTTCAGTGCGGGGCATGTTAAGGCCATGGTCGTCAATGGCGAACTGACACGACACAATTCTGTTTGCGATGAATAAATGTACGTAAACTCATTATGACAGTGAGATGTAAGTGTCTCCGAAAGAATGGCGACTAGTGCGATGACAGGCGCCATCAGTTCAACATGTTTTGGTGCATGTTGTTTGTGTATATTGTGAAATAAGCAAGAAAATGGGTAAGTTACCGCTACAAATTCTGAGCAGGGATTTTGGCTCGGAATCGAGAAATCACGATTTTTCGAGCTTCCGAAGACCCTAGCTCCCAAAGTACTGCTTCGATTTTTGTGCTGTATGTCTCATTTTGTAGGTAAATCTATTGGCTTGAAATGTGTGCATACTTTAAATCGATAAATACAGTGAGTATTGTTGAATTCGCCCTGAAACGAACCTGGTGTGTTGACCTCGTTACATCCCTTTCCTTTTTATATAGTACTAAGACCCCGTCAGTGACAATATATACCTTGATGGCAGTTTTTAGCGTTACAAGCCCCTGTGTACTGAACTATACTGAATACAGTTTACACGTATAAACACCTCACAGAGCATATATCTGCTTGTCTGAAGGTTGGGTTCCCTGGCACTACATATTGTAGACGAACTGATGCGTGTAACGAACTGCGGTTGTACCGAACCGTTGTTTACTGTGTATAGCTATACTTTCGTAATGGTACCGACTGGTTTTTTGGTCATTTCGTCAGGATATTTCCGAATGTCTCATCAGTTACCAAAACTTTGGGGATGCAGTTGTGTGTATGTGAGTATCTATCTATCTATCTACCTCTGTGTGTCTATCTATCTACCTATCTACCTCGCCATGTGTCTATCTACCTACCTATCCATATGTATGTATCAGCCCATCTCGGTATCTCTGTATCTATCTATGACTGTATCTATCAATCTATCTATCTATATATCTATCTATCTGTGTGCATGTGAGTGTTCATGCATGGGTGATGTGTGTAAGATTCCTTGTGGTATGTTTGTGTGTTTTTGTGAGTGTGCACCTGTGTGTGTATCTATCTATCTATCTATATGTGTGTGTGTGTTCATTCATGTGTGGTTAGGTGTTTGTTGGTTGTGTGAGATTGTTTGTCATGTGTGTGTGTGAGCGTGCGCGTGCGCGTGCGTGTAAGTGTGTGTGCGTGGTGTTCGGGGAAGGGGAAGGGTCATGGAACAGAGGGTGGCATAAGAAGACAGTATGTGAAGACAGTATCATCTCTATCTGGAAGTCAACAGTGGAGTTGATTACCCCCGTGGGGCAAAACGGAATACCGGGGATTCGATGCCCTGCCATGTCCTACCAAAACACATTTAAAGATGGCACTTGTTCTTTCTCGGTCTCTCGGCATTCATGGGATGAAACAGGGACTGGTCGACTCGGAGTCAGTATAATCTGTCTCAGTGACGTATCCATGTTCAACTGGTATCTCAGTTGTCAAGCAATATGAAACAGGCATCAATATACGGAGTTGTGTGAGCACACACACTCTCTCTTTCTCTCTCTCTCTCCTCCGTGGTTTAGTGGTTAGAGCGTCCGCCCGGAGAGCGTCCGCCCGGATCCCCGACCGCGTCATACCAAAAGACGTTAAAATATGGTACTTGTTGGTCCCTGCCTGGCGCTCGGCATTAATGGGTACAACAAGGACTGGTCGGCTCGGAGTCAGTATAATGTGTCTGAGTGGGGTATTCATGCTTCACTGCAGCATGATATCTCAGTGGGCTAGCACTATAAAACCAGCTTCAGTCTGGGCTAGTACAAGCAGCCGCACATACACATACACACGCATGCACGTCGTCATATGAGCGAAATATTCTCAAGCACGACGTAAAACCCAATTTTCACCTCACCTCTCTCTCTCACTCACACAAACACACACACACTCACACAAACAAACACAGACACATACGCACACACTTTCTCTCACTATCCCTTTTATTATCTCACTCACTCACTCTCACAAACTCAAACACACACGCTGTCATTGGATCCAGGATTCTCTCATTCAGAATACATGCTCACTGTTCCATTTTTACTGCGGAAGCATATACCATTTTAATAGCTTTAAAATATTTAAAAAAGCCAATCACAGTCTAACCAGTATATAATATTTTCTGATTCTCTTTCGTGTCTTCAAACCACAAATAACATGGCATATGAACGTCCACTTTTAACTGCAGTTATTGAATTGCATAATGAACTTGTTTCTGGCCAATATGACATCGTCTTCTGTTGGATACCAAGCCATGTTGGAATTCATGGTAACACAATGGCAGACACAGCTGCCAAAGCAGCACTCGACAAATCTGAGACACCACTTCAGATCCCATACAGCGATATAAAACCTATCATAAGGTGCTATATCAGAGATATCAGTGGGACACCCAAGTAGGTATCAATAAATTACATGCAATAAAACCCTATATCGGTTACACCTACTTGGGCTGCCAGTCCAGATTTGATGAGGTCATATTACGACGATGTCGTATTGGCCACAGCAGATATACAAATGAATATTTATTGAAAGGGGAAGATCCTCCGTTTTGTATCCCTTGTGATGAGACAATCACGGTCAAGCACGTTTTGCTTGACTGTGTGGAATTTTCTCTCATAAGGGATACATATTACAAAGTTTCACATCTGAAGGGTCTTTTTAACACAATCAATTCTCATTTAATTACAGGGTTTTTAAAAGAGGTAGGATTGTTCAGTAGTTTTTGAATGGATATGTTTTAACTCTAGAGGTTGATGTAATCAAAAACTGTTATTATATTGCTCTTTATTGGGGTTGAAGTATCGTAAAAAGATTGTCTCCTTTTGATTGCAGAATAGTATTATAGTACATTGCAGACAACCCGAATTTTATTGCTTCAACTGTATTGTTTTAATGTCTGACTAGCACTGTTTATAACTACCATTCACTGAAGTGATGGTGTAAATCCTGCTGGGAATTCATGCAGGAAGCTGAAGTACTGTAAGTCCCCATGAACCCCAGTAAGGTAGCCTAGCTTTGGTTGCTGGTGGTCCATAGCCCGTGTTTTAATGTTAATATATGTCACATCGAGTTGCATTTTTAGAATTGGAAAAAGATCAGTTTTTATACTTGCATTCCGTGATACGTTGCTAACGTTTTACTGTCCTTCGTGACAGATATTTATCATATATACTAACTTTGTGCTCGTCACAATACGGCTGAAATATTGCCGATGTGACGTTAAATTATAACTCAATCACTCAAACACACACGCAACTGATATCTCCGTTGTCAAGCAATATGAAACAGGCATCAATACGGAGCTGTGTGAGCACACACACTCTCTCTTTTCTCTCTCTCTCACTCACACAAACACACACACTAACACAAACAAACACAGACACATACGCACACACACTCTATCTCACTATCCCTTTAATTATCTCACTCACTCACTCTCAACGCAAACGCAACTCAAATGCACACGCAACCACTAACTCAGAATATACACAACAGAGAGCGTAAAGGAGCACGGTTTAATATGAAACACGTGGTGCTAACAGCCTCGACGCCATCTACAATTTTAATCATGCTGTCGTTGTCTACAAAACAGTGAAACAAGTGATTCAATTAGGCGTCTCAGACACCCCTTAGTTTTCACCGGGCAGGTGGCAGAGGTCCTTATCAGAAGGTTGGTTCCAACACGGCCTGCGTCAACTGTGCCGGCAAAGAAGTCAAAGTCGAACTCGCCAGACCCACTCCCGTGGTCCTTCTGCCTAACGTGCAGGTTCTCGTTGTAGTGACAGAGATAATAGCCTGGGGATAGAAGTGGTAGTGACAGGCGAAATGTGTGACAGAAAGTAGGAGTAATAGTTTATCGTTGCATAATAGACAGAACGTCTTGTCACATAGGTTATTCTTACATCATTATAATAAAACATAACTCCCCTCGTATCTATTATGAGATTATGTTATCTGTCAATAATTATGACAATGGTTTGATTAAGTCATTTGAGGCATTTTCTATAGCCATTATCGAAATGATATCATTCAGTCGTTTTCTATACCCATATTATCAAAAATATATATATTCTGCCCCTTATGACATTGATATTAAGTCATTTTCTCTGCCCCTTATGACCAATGCGTAGTTTTCTCTGCCTATTATGACAATGATATTAAGTCATTTCTCTGACCCTTATGACAATGACGTCATTTTCTCTGACCATTATGACAATGATATTAAGTCATTTTCTCTGCCTCTTATGACAATGACGTCATTTTCTCTGCCCATTATGACAATGATATGAAGGTATTTTCTCTGCCCCCTTATGACAATGATATGAAGTCATTTTCTCTGCCCCTTGTGAGAATGATTGACAATGATATTAAGTCATTTTCTCTGCCCCCTTATGACAATGATATGAAGGTATTTTCTCTACCCCTTATGAGAATGCTTGACAATGATATTAAGGCATTTTCTCTGCCCATTACGACAATGATATTAAGTCATTTTCTCTGCCCCCTTATGACAATGATATGAAGGTATTTTCTCTACCCCTTATGAGAATGCTTGACAATGATATTAAGGCATTTTCTCTGCCCATTATGACAGTGATATTAAGTCATTTACTCTGCCCATGTGAAAATGACGTAAATTTCTCTATCTATTATAATAATGATAATACTGAGGCATTTTATCTATCCATAACAACATTGATAATCGGGGAAAATTAATTATATTGCTTAGGTATTTTATTTATCCATTTGGAAGACGATATCATTGGGGCATTTTATCTATTTATAATGATAATCATTGTATTGAAGAATTTCATCCACCCATTGTGACAAGATTGAGAAATTTAATTTGTCGTTATGAAAATTATTATTAAATCATTTTTTGTGTACATTATGACAATGGTATTTGTTATGTCGTGTATCTATTCATTACTATGATGGTATTATTAAGGCATTGTAATACATTATGACAATGATAGTACTGTGCCACTTCTATCTATTCACTATGTGACAATGATATGGGCATTTTATCTACCCATTATAACAATACGAGTGTGGTACATTTAGCCCGTCACTTAAGACATTAGAGAAGCATTTTATCTATACAGTACGACATATGTGATATTGCTGATGAATTGAAGTGATGAAGTCGCTGGGGTTCGTCACATAGGTTCGTCAGATAGGTTCGTCACATCGAATGCCTGTTTGTTTCCCACATGGTTACATGTGTGAAGACCGTTTCCCAAACGGTAATTTTGTTTAAAGGCCCAATGTCACACATTTTCGACAGTATTTTGGCTTATAGCTAAACTGGATGGAATTATCATGAAACCGCCCTCTAGTTGTCAGAAATGAGCGAGCCGAGTCCTTAACGACCGTGGGCTTCTGTTGTCAGTTATGTTGTCAAATGACGTCACAGCGGTATTGTCTTGTTCTGTCAACCCAATGACGTCTCGCTACATAGACGTCATAAATGTTGTTCCATGATCTAACAGTGTTGGGTCAACAGCCCGTTGTGAGTTGTTTGAAGTAAACTTACTATTAAATTTGTGATACTGTTTTTTATCATACAATGGATAGTGTTCTCAGCAGAATAAAGCCAACGGATATTTTCGGTATCCGTTGGGGTCATATACGGATATCGATGCAAATTAGAGAGGTCATATGCAAATTTCATGGACTACTTTCAATGTGTAAACAAACTTGGCGTCAAGGGTCGGCGGTCGTGACCGGATTGACGGCCGTGGTTACAGTACTGTCAGTGCTTTGATCCCAGAAAATTCATGCCTGGTTATGATAGTTGGAGTAGATTACAAAGCGAAGATAGAAATTCATAGGCTTACGAAGATACCAACATCAGTTCCCCGACCGACTGTCAGTGATAGCGAGAGAACGGCACAGGAATCCAGGTGCACAATGTCACGCGAACATTAAAGCGTATTTTGTTGTTCAAAAGGTTAATTGAAGGTTTCTGAAGTTCCACGCGAGTTTGTTGTTATTTTTCAAACGTAAGCTAAGATTTCTTGACAACAATATGTGCTTTAGCATAAAAGCTTACTGGGAACTAGATAACCTAACGCAGTCAGCTGAGTGATCAAGAGAAAATTATGTCACCGCGCTTGTGACGTAACGTATTACACCGCACATATTTCTGACGTCATAGACATTCCACGAAGTTTAGTTTCATGATTTGGGCTTAGCTTGAAATAATGTTCGGCCGGTAGAGGGCGCTAGAGTCGATTTAATGCAACGTTGCATTAATTCACTTTTTGATTTAATATTGTGATCTAAATACAGATTTCTTTTTTGAATAATTATATGGTAGCTTCCCTGAGGGCTGATAGTATTATTGAGAGAAATTATATATTTTTAGATAAGTATGGTGTGATATAGTGCCTTTAAAGGTCACATAAACCCTAGGGGGTACAAATACATAAATCACTAACTGGCATCGTTATAAATGAAACCCCGTCATTAAAACTACTCATTTTTACCTTTAATTGACTTAAATCGACCTTTTTGACAACAGTGCACAATTCTCACCCGCGAACGAAATTTCAACCAATCAGAGCGGGGCGTCTCTGTGACGTCATATGAGGAATAGCTTTGAGGGTCGATGCAGAATTCATCTACATTTTAGGGGGTAAATTATCTTGTTTACAGGCTTGTATAAACCTGAAATCGTGACAATTGTTGTGGAAAATGAAAGCTATATGTTCTCACAATCTACTCATTTAATTTTGTCTCTTGCTTTGCCTAGTTTCCGAGTTACAACTTGTTTTCATAGACGTTTCTGTCAAAATCGATTGGTGTCGTTAGGCCCTATTTGTATAATGACTGATCCAAATTGATCCCATTTCTGTGTTTTTTTACCTCGATATTTAATCATGTCATGTAAAAATCTGTTTGTATTCTCAAAACAGTGTCGGCCCATAAGTTTTCACATGCAATACAGCAATTAATACTCCCTTGTTGTAACCCGTGTTAGGTGGTATAAACCTACACATGTTATTTGTCATCATTCACTTGATGGTCAGTTAATGAATTTATAACAGGTATAATTAGTGGTAACACACTTAGATTACCCGACAAAGGTTCCCATTTGGCATTTCTTGTGTCTGGAGTAAATATTCAACATTATAAAGATCGATCAAAGGAATAAACGATAACACGCTGATTGATTAATTACTTTTATCTTATACAGCGGAATTGTCAAAAGGTAGTGTTTATGTATGTAGATTTACTAATCTATACCGAATACACTCTGTCATGTCGGTGTCTGCGTAAAAACAACGTCCTTCTTTCAAAGGCGGACATTATGCAATTAGTTGCCAGGTGTGCTATCTTGGGTGACCAATGAGACTATACACCAATACCTGAAAAGATTTATCACTTTTTCGTATATCAAACCGTTAAAAGACACATCATTTGGAACAGTTTTGTGGATATTGATGGATACATTCCTCGAACAAGGTAATGGCCTGATATTGTTCTTATAACTTTAATCTGTTTTAATTTTAATATTTGCATTTTGTTTTTATTCATTTGTCGTAGCATTCAACAGAATCATTGTTTTCGCCGTGAAGTGTAATGAGACAGACAACATACACTAGGGTGTGTGTGCGAATTATGATTCACATTGGCAAACTATAAAATGTCTAGATATTACAGTTCTGTTATAAATTCACTATAAGTATCAGCAGATCGTCTGCTTTTTATTTAGTTTCAAAATGCATACAAGTATGATAATAAACTAATTAGGATTATAAGACCAAATATAAAGACGTACATTGGCTAGTATCTACATACTGGTGAGTGGACATTAACCATGTGAATGTAGCAAGAAATTTATCGCGCAGTATTGTGACTTCGACCCCCACCTCGCTTCCGTGGAAGAAATCGTTATGTTATAAGTTGTGTCATGCAAAATCCGTTTGGTTATGATTCCAATACATATTTAACTACGAGTAGAAAGTAGTTTTGATTTTCTAACTTGATGAAAACAAACTATAATCTCATTAATTCTAACAGACTTTACGATTTTCAAAAATGGCGGCGCCCTGTTGGGAACATCCGCCAGTCTGTGGATAAATGCTATTTAGGTTTGTTTTCACCGAGTTACAAAATCAAAACTACTTTCTACTGGTAGTAAAATATGTATTTTATTGATGGCCAATAGGATTTTGCATGACATAGCCTATAACATAACAATTTCTCTCCTGGCAGCGAGGTGGGTGTCAATATAATACTACTTACAATATTATTGTTACTTCGACCACAACCTCACTTCCGAGGAAGAAATCGTTATGTCACAAGCTGTGTCATGGAAAATCTTTATGGTCATCAATCATATACATATTTTACTACAACTAGTAAGTAGTTTTGATTCTTAAACTTCCGTGAAGCGATCTGAACACAAGTAAGATATCGTTTCAGGCTTCCACAAAACTCGCTTCGCACTCACAAACATAATAACCCATTTAGCACGAACTGCGGGGTCCTGTGGAAATCTGTGCATGGTGACACCATCACCCGACCCCTAGGAGCAATTGACGACAAAGCAACGATTCGTCATGTCGTCGTTGATGTCGAGAAATCATCAAAATGATGAGCGTGCTACACACTTTCTATACAACTTACTGAAAATCGTTCCTCATATGACGTCACTGCAGTGCTCTGGCGACAGAGTTACGTAACCTGTCTGTGGTTTCGTTGGCGGGCGAGAGGGAAGCAGGCGACTTTTTGGCCACTTTTAATCGCTCGGTATTAATTAACCACAAGTTTTTAAAGAATAAATTTGGTGTTCTGCATAAGACTAACCACAAATCTTTCATATGTAATGGTTAAAAGAGTAACAAAAAACAAAGTTTATTGGTTCTTTAATATATTGCTAACATATATTACGTTTACACTGGATGGGAGTGCAGTAGTTTTGAATCTACCGATAGGCATTTTCATCACCTCCTATGTTATACCTTCGTGAATAATCATGAAATAGTTCTAGTGAAAAGTGTTCGAGGCTAAAACACAAAGGAGTACATTTTGTAGATGCCATGAGACAGGTCCCCATCAAACGTGGTTGTTCTCATGTTCCTCCTTGTATCGATCACTGGATTGTGTGGTCCACGCTAACTCAATTACCAATAGCTGGAATATTGCTGATGGTGTCGATTAACAACAAACTTTGAAAAATTAAGACTTGCCACTATCATCAGAGGTCAATAGCGTGGTCATCACTTCAAACAATTCTGATAATACCATACTTTCAATCGCCTAGTTTACAGTGAGTGAGTTGGGCAATATCACGGCGGGGTACACGTGGGCTTCACATATTGCGACCATGTAGGGAGTCGAACCGGAACCTCGATGTAACGAGAGCGAACGCTTTCACCAAGAGGCTACACCACGCCCCTCCCAGCAGAGTAGCAGGTGTCTCACAGGTGCCCGTAACTGAGTAATGTTGATACTACACCTTTATGTGCCCGGCTCTCCAGCATCAGTTCGTCATCACTACTGCCCCGCACAAGGAACATCCGTCCATCGACGTCATCTTTACTAGGGGGCGTCTCAAACTTCTGTAAAATAATTAATGTCATGTTAATGTGCATCTTCGATAATCTCCAGGGTATACGTTCCGATAAACGTCCTCTATACCCTGGATGAATCCACGGCTCGGCCCGGTAATTTTATTACCTCCCTTGATTGACTTTTTATCCAATCAGGTGTCGACACTAGGAAGTTGAGCGTACCAATCACAATGTTTCTATCATTACTCACTTTCGCTACTTTTATCTAACCGATTAAACTTGCCACACAATTGTTGCAGAGGTACTCAGAAAGAGGTGGAAGGAGTTCTTGCATATGTTTTTGAAGGTTTAAGACCTGTAAATTTGTCTGTATGTCTTTTCCCCTACATCTGATTCGCACAGCGAGCAAACCTTCGCGGCTGCGGCCGCTATGTTTGTTGACACTGGCAAGTTCGGTTGTAACGGCTTATTCGACTGGCTAATGGGAGAATGCGGAGCCAGCAAAGGGAGGTAATAGAATTATCGGGCCGAGCCGTAGATGCTTCCAGGGTATCGGAACGTATACCCTGGAGATTATCGAGGATGGTTAATGTGATGCTACCCGACGATTGCGGAATGGTGCTTGTATACTTCCGCACACCTGACACCAGTCATATGTGAGGCTAGCGTTGACATTAATGTTTTGCCTAAAGCCAATGCTGACATTAATATTTTACCTGAGGCTAATGCTGACATTAATGTTTTACTCAAGGCTAGCGGTGACATTAATGTTTTACCTAATGCTGGCTTTAATGTTTTACTCAAGGCTAGCGGTGACATTAATGTTTTACTCAAGGCTAGCGCTTGCATTAATGTTTTACTCAAGGCTGACGTTGACATTAATGTTTTACTCAAGGCTAAAGCTGACATTAATGTTTTACTCAAGGCTAAAGCTGACATTAATGTTTTACCTGAGGCTAACGCTGACATTAATGTTTTACCTAAGACTAACGCTGACATTAATGTTTTACCTGAGGCTAACGCTGACATTAATGTTTTACCTAAGACTAACGCTGACATTAATGTTTTACCTGAGGCTAACGCTGACATTAATGTTTTACTCAAGGCTAACGCTGACATTAATGTTTTACCTGAGGCTAACGCTGACATTAATGTTTAACACAATACTAACGCTGACATTAATGCTTTACCTACGCTGACATTAACACACGCACACACGCGCGCACATACACACACGCCCCTCATCCTCTTGCCCTTCAACCTCACCTTCAGTGTCGTGTGCAAACCGTCGTTTGTCTTTGTGACGGTAATGTAGTATTCTCTATTCCAGGAAAAGGCTCTGAATTGCTGTAAGCCTTGGAATAAACAGTGCAAGCCTATGTCATCTGTAACGAAACACAAGAACATCATGCTTTGTCATCACGCTGTAGTAGTTCATCACGTTTAACACATTTATGATGACGTTTAACACATTTATGATGACGTTTAACACATTTATGATGACGTTTAATACATTTATGCTGACGCTTAGCATATTTGAGATGACGTTTAACACATGTTTGATACAAGCAATTGGAAACACGTAAAAGATCACAGGATTCCAACCGTTGATCCAAGGGACGCAACTTTGCGGGTATTGTGTGTTTTAACTATGACAGTTCACCGAATAAGTGTTTCTTACAAAACGACATATCTTTACTGGACATTCATATGACGTTCATCACCTCCCCTGACTTACACTTGTATCTGTCTGTGTGAAGACCAGCCGTGACGACGATGCTGGGAACGTCACCATCATCGTACACACCAACAGTAACTCTCCCAGCATGCAGGTGGATGTCGTCAGGGTCAGCCAAGGTGCAGTCAACCTCATCAAAATCAAAGTCGTTCATGTCGGGGCATGCCATACTGAAGCACCCGATATACAGCTGTAAAATATAGATGAACATAATAAGTATTATGATTGCATTACAGATCCATACTCCAGTACATATTTTGTTCCGATCCAAATGATACAAATTGCCCCTACATTATATCGTCTTTGAAATGATCATTTTCATAAAAGTACACTTACAAAAGTTACATTCAAAGACGTGCACGGTAGGCAAATTTGTTTCTTGTTCGAGGTCGCATTAAGCAATATTCCGGATATACAGAGGTGGACTGTAAATAATCAACAATCCAGTGACCAATAGCATTGCTAGTTAAGTGGGTAGAGGCACACAATCACACGCACGCACATACACTCTCACACACACACACACACACACACACACACACACACACACACACACACACACACACACACACACAGAGAGAGAGAGAGAGAGAGTAACACTAACACACTACCCGTGAATATCCGGGTTAGAATTGATCTTCAGCAACCCATGCTTGTCGTAAAAGGCGACTAACGGGGTCGGGTGGTCAGGCTCGCTGACTTGGTTGACACATGTCATCGAATCCCAATTGCGTAGAACGATGGTCATGATGTTGATCACTGGATGGTCTGGTCCAGACTCGATTATTTGCAGACCGCCGCCATATAGCTGGAATATTAATGAGTGCGGCGTAAAACTAAATTCACACACTCACCCACACTTTATATCTATCTATGTGTCAGTCTGCCTGTGAGTATGGTTTTACGCCGCTTTTAGCAATATTCCAGCAACATCACAGCGGGGGACACTAGAAATGGGCTTCCCACATTGTACCCATGTGGGGAATGGAACCCGGGTCTTCGGCGGGACGAGCGAAGGCTTTAACTACTGGGCTACACATCCTTGCAGTTCATGAATACACCAACACTTCAACATGCTGACATGATCATCTTGTATCTTAAATTAATAAATTAATTCATTCGTTGATTAAGAGTAACTTTAAACTGATGTATTTAGTTAAGGAACTTGAACTACTTTGTCTCGCGTAGGTGTGTATAATATACCCACAATCCAGCGTAAATCCTGTTCCTCAAAGTAGAACTGGCATGCCTTAAACTTCATAACACGGGTTTATGAAGTTTAACTGGTCTTACAGTGTATGCAATTACTAGGTATAAAGATAGGAAGATAAGTATTCTACCATGGCTACGTGAAATGCTCGAATTTGATTGGTCAAGCCATAAAATCAGACGGTATCAATTTGGATTGAAAATGCGTCTGATTTCACGGCGCTTCACTGCGCACGTATACAACACTGCCGCACTACTTCAGCTTGGCGACCAACATGACTAATATCAACACAACAGACGTGATGGAAATGCTGATGAAACATTTATTAAAACTCGAAAAATACAATTATACGATTTCTCCTCCACAATTATTAGGGGACCTCACTATCATAATTATTACCTTCTATTATAAATATTCAAACTCAATTACAATACACAGCCCCAAACATAAACAAACAATATATAACATATAAATCAGAAAAGCTTGTAAAAATACATCCCTATCTATCCCTATTTGTGCGGCAAAACGTTCGTAAACATTTACCTACCTGGTAAATGGTATATTTGTTTCCGTTTAGAATGGGAAATTCGCAAGATAACAGTCAGGCGAAACACAAAATTTGCCACTCATACTCAATCATGTCCCGTTGCATCGTTCAAAATGTCAAAAACTGAACCATGAGAATTCAGTTCTCTGCCACCTTCCCCGAAGGCTGTCACTGCTATGTTCGTACACTTTGAAAAGCTTGGCCACAATCCAGTCCCAAATGATGAGAACAATGTTCCAAGGAATCCCAAGTTAGTCGCATGTACACAAAGCTGCACTGTCACTCTTCCTCGCATGCCGGGGTGGAGGCACGTACGTGAAATCATGATCGACACTCGCCGGTCATAAAAATCAACAGTCTTTGATGAGTTACAGGTTATAGGTCGACCAGAAAAGGATCTATTCTTCGATTCTGCAGGGTTCAGGATCGACAGTCAGTCAAGTATTTTCCACTGTCACTTGGAATTTCAACCTTTCGCAAAATGTAAACACTGGCTCGTCCGCCATTTCAAACTATTGCGTAACTGTCTACTTCCAAGAAAATAAGTAGGTCAGACGATTCCATTATACTGTGTTCTAAGATGCTTAGCGCTTAGAACAATCGGAAAAAAAATACATTATCAGACAATAAAGGTATAGTTTTTTGATGACGTAACAATTGAATGACGTTATCCCGTCACTGCGCCATTCTAGTGTGCCCCCTCGTAATCGAACCATTTTACATTACGTCACAGTGTAAGCGACGTCACGATGCATGTCAGTTGTCTTCGCCTTGTACAGCCTCCTACAGTAAACTACTGCGTTGCACCCCCGTTTCTTTGTTTGCAGTTGCTTCACTCACCTAACATCACTGGTGGAAACATTACGTTTATGTTTTCTGACGTTTTAAATGTCTCAATTCGACTCGCAAGTTTTCAGCGACACGATAACGTTCGCAATGTTTACATTCCCACAATGCAATCGTGGAATGTCGCTAGACTACTCAGCTTCGTCTGGATGTACTGATCTAAACATACGTTGGTAGTAGAAATGCGACGTTCACATGGTTTACGTTAATCAATGATGTAATTAAAATACTTTAGAGAAGATATTTAATCCGAACGTAAACCGTCATGAAACTGTTTATCATTTGTTTTTCTGGTAACGTTCGTCTTAACGTAGGGGGGCAGACACATCAATAGAACAGCGCGCCAGCTAGCCCTGTGCGAGGATTCTTAATTTAGGTCACCGACACCGTCGTTTGTTTTCTGCCATAAATTAATCGTAATTATCCTTAGAAAGTATTAAATTTGGCATCTTAGAAAAGAAATACAGTTCGCTCTACCCCCATGTATAGTGTAATAAAACACACTTTCTCCCTGAACTATTATGACGTTAAAGCACTCGGACGCAAGCGTCCTCGTGCTTTAACTATAATAGTTCAGGGCAAAAGTGTGTTTTATTACACTATACATGGGGTAGAGCGAACTGTATTTCTTAAGCCAGGGGTACAGTAATACGGCACACAAAACAATAGGCTGGTTTCGGTCTTGTGGAATTATGATTATAAAAACCGAGCTCTTAGGTGTTACATTATTGCATTGAATAAACAGTAGTTTGTTTTCCTTGGACAGAATATTTTTTATGTTGCAATGTTAAAAAAAATACGAACGGAACCTACCACTCCTTTATCAGACGAGTTCAATTCGCCTCTCATCCCATGCCGGATTACGCAGTGTCTTCCGCAGGACGAGGAAGTTCGATGTTTAATCGGTTATGGTAGAATGGAGATAAACATACTGTGTTTGGAAATTAGATGAATGTTAGACCGAATTGATAGTCTCTAAATTAATCATTTGAAACCTCACGCTACGCGTTCGGCTTCAAATAAAATTTAGAGACTATCAATTCGGTCTAACATTCATCTAATTTCCAAACACAGTACGTTTATCTCCTAATTGGATGGATGCATGACGGGAGAAATTGATTTCCCCAAAAGGCATAGTTGTATATCGTCTTCGCGCTATTTAAGTAATATTAACTCCTGGTTACAGCCTGACAATTTTTAATGTGTCTATCGGATAGGTCTTTGCTTAGTTCTTGAAATACATTTTAAATATTCCTTTATGAGTTCATTATCAATAATGTTGAGGAAGATGAGTTCCACGCCCTGTGTATTTGTACAAAGTATAATGACCAGGACCCGGTTGTATCAAACTTTAATGAAGCATTAACGTGCCATTAAACGTTCATTAACTAATGTATCATTAAATTCTGTTGTACTAACGTTTTAATGATGCTCTGTTGTCATTAGTGCGTCATTAACTAATGAAGGTCCTGGGGTATCATTAGAGCGTCATTAAACTTCCTGGAAAAGTGAACATTGCGCCAGAATTTCGTTTGCGCCGCACTGAATCTACCTACAGCTATAAAATTACACAGAAATGTAGAGTATTAAATGTACTATCTCATGGTATAAACTCAGTTCGAAAAGTAGACATTGCTAAATGTTACGCCTAATTTTGTTTTGCGTTAAAAACAGTAAATTTCTCTGCTTTTTATCGTGCACTGATAAAAGTACTGTGCTACTATATTTTCAATTTGGGGTCTTTACGGAAAGTGTGAGCGAACAAGATTCTGCCTGATACCTGAATGACATAGGTATGTATTAAATTAGTTTGTGTGCTTATGTATAACGTTATACACTCAATCTTAAAAGTGACTCGCAATATGTGTTGAAAATGGATTTTCCCTATGACGTCAAATGGCTACATAAAGGTCACACGCTTATAAAAATAAGGGGGCCTCACTCCGGTATGCTTAATACTAAGTCATTGTAACTCAGATCACTTGGCGAGAATTTGCTGTGAATAAGGACACAATATCTTCGTGATGTTTTGTTCACAGAATTTATCGAAAACAATGATACTCAAAACATTTGTGACAAACGCGCACCTAGCCAATGATTATACGCCATTGTTTTGTCTATAACACAACATAAACAAATTCAATGAACAAGACATATCCTTTAAAAACGTGTGCATATATACATTTCATGAAATAATTAAATCATTTTAATTTATTACGTCAGTTTTACTTAGTTTAAAATACTAAATGTTGATAATGAAATTAGTTTCATGAAACCATATGTGAACGATACGCAAAGTATACATTAATAATACAAGTGTAATCCGCAGGACAGTGTGATTGTGTTTACTCTTATTCAACCGACCTTCATCTCAAAGAAATTGCCACATACGTCCAACAATGTTGATGTATGACATCACTACCGATGACCGATTTCTCATGAAATGGCGGCTTCGTGGATATGAGTGCCCACGATTTTGCGAGGGAACCTTTGTCCATAAATGTATGATGTAAGTAATCGGAAACATTCTGACTATCTGCGTATGGTTGTTTGTTTTTATTGTTTTCATTGAAAATGTCAGAAATGC